ACACGCACACGCACACGCACACACGCACTTGGACACTTGCTCCACCTTTCGTTGTCCCCTCCTTGTCTCTCCAGAGCATCACAGACATATGGCTTACGGTAATTCGAGGTGGCAATGACTCATTGCGTGTGTGTGTGTATTTGTGTGTGTGTGTGTGTGTGTAGCAACATCACTCCTCCTCCTCCATCTCCCTCCTCGTACGAGGTGTGTTTTGCAAGCATCTGCTTGAGAAGAAGTGTGAGGGAGGAGTGTGTCCCGTTTTGCCAGAATCTGTGAGTCGCTGTTGAACACAGAACATCTGGATCAGGGAGGAACACTGTGTGTATGCACGTACATGAGTGTGTGTGAAAGAGAAGGAGAGAGCCAAAGATATCAATCAAACTCACATCTGGCAAGCACAAAGCACAGCTGGACACACATGAGTTCATGCAGTCTTAACAGAGATTACTGTATGTGGAGGGAATAGAGAGGTGACACACACACACACACATATGAATACAGAGTGACAAAATTAACTTTGTAACACTTAAAATACAACCTAATAAACCGCTATTACCAATATAAACACACACACACACACACACATTGTTAATGGCAATTGTTCCAACCTACTAACAGTTAAAATACCAACTTAACAAGCTGGAGCAAAATGTTCACATTTTTCCCCCACATTTTATTAGTCTGTGCGCGTAGGCGAACTCTTCTCACTAAATTCATCCCTGTTAAACCCATTTCCTCACATTCACATCACCAGAGTTGCAGACGTTCAGCCCCAGGTCCATTTTTTGCATCCGTTGTTGCATCTTTTGGACAAGAACAGAGCAATACATAAACACCAGTGAAGAAGGAGAATAGAGCGGAACCAGGGAAGGAAGCAGCGATGAAAGGAGGTCAGCTCGGGTGAACAAACTTGAAAGTCTGCGACATAACATAATATGATCGTAAGTTGTCTCTCCTGCCATATCCTCTGCAACAATACATTCCAGATGGCTGCTAACTCAAACGCTGGATGGGGAACAACTATGTGTTTTTTGGCAGCAGGCCTCTTGTTTGTGTAGTCTACTCTGAAGTGCTGAAGAGTTTTGCGTGGGTTTATGACGAGAGCGGGACTTCATTTGTGCCATTGATTTATAGATTTATTTTGATGTTTTCCATCCTCGCCTGCCTGCCAGCCCACCCCCTCTGTCTGTCTCGTTGTCTTTTTTTCCCTCGTGCAGATGGTTCTTGTTGTGCGGGGTGAGGTCACAGCTATGCTAGGCCTTTACATGTTGCATGCTGGGTAATGTCTCCACCCTGATGTGTCTCTCCATCAAAGAGTGTGTACTACCAGATTTCTGTTCATTTCACACTGTGCCGCTCAAAAAGAGGACTATCTACTTGTTTTCACTTGTGATTCCACTGCAGTCTGGCTTAGTTTATATTCTATTGACCTCCCGCCGCGATATACATGGACTCAATGTCGTCAGTCTGTCTGTGCAAATGAAAGAAACACTTTCCACAGGAATCCTCCACATCAACATCTGAATATATTTTGGAGTAAATTTCTTTATTCTTTCAAGAAATACTTTAAGACAGTTTGGGAGTTAGATGAAAAGATTGATACCACTCTCGAGTCTGTCTAGTAAATATGAAGCTAATATATTATTTTGTCTTCTGTCCGATTAATTTCAATTTACCTCTTGTGTGCTATGAACTGCAAAAAGGAAAGTCCTGGCTTATTATTTCATTGACTGAATGCTACAACGAAGCTACAGCCAGCAGCAGGTTAGCTTAGCTTAGCATAAAGACTAGAAACAGGGGGAAACAGCTAGCCTGGCTCTAGCCCTTTACTCTGTGCAAAAACATTAAGAAAAAATGCGTAAGAGGTATATAAACAAAAATCCACAACGTTTCTGTGTCGGGGGAACAAGCCAGTAAGCCATAACAAGCTAGCTGACCAGAAGAAGGAGAACTAGATAAGGACAAAAAAGATGGACAGACACAAACCGAAAAGAACAGGTTTTTTCTCTAACTTTAAAGCTGGTTTAAACTCTAACAGAAAAGCTTTAAGTGGGTAAGCTTAGTAATGTATTGATTAGCAAACATCTGGCAAAATACTTGAAATGACATGTTAGCAGCGGTTTTTGTTTTAAGTATGTTTTTATTTAAACTGGATGATTCATGAATGTTGATCAGGATAATTGGGTTTGTCACAACACCTATTTTCTCACTGCATTTCTTTTTCTTCCTCATTTCACTCCTCCACTATCTGCTTGCTCCAACACTTCATTGAACCTATACAGTACCTACACTGAATAACCCTGACTAACCCATTTCTGGCTACACACCATAGACACACTCTAGATACATTGCATGTAACATGCATTCCTCCAAAATCCAGACATATTTTAGAAACATTGCCACTAAGAGTTAAAATATGAGTTGCTAATGGACTCACTGGTGTGTCTTAAGACATAATTAGCATAACTCTTACTTCTTAATGGAAACGGGCATCCTGGAAATATAATCTTACAGTGAATGAACGTAATACGTCTTTCTTGACATTTCCCCCGAGTACTTACAATTCTAGATTTAATCTGAAACATTTAAGTGCTCAACCTCACTTCACAAGATATTACAATGGAAAATGTATAGGTAGATCTTTTCTTCATTATACATTTGATCAGACTGGATATTGATTTCAGTGTCAGCCTACAGATAAATATGTTATTCTCTTGTGATGATAGAAAGTCTGCGAGGTAAAGTGGATACATATAATCGAGGTAATTTGATTTTGTTCACATAAGGTTTGTTGGTCTCTTTCTGTCCTCATACATCTGTTTTTGCTGTCAAACCACCAAACCGCCACACATTTCCATTTTATTACAAGTGGATGACTGATGGATGATCAGCAGAATAATTGTGTGTGTGTTACTGCACACATTTTCTCACCTCATTTATTCTTTCTCCCTCTTCTTCCAGTCATTTTTCACTTGTCCCTGTACCCTTAGTTCACATCATTTCATTTCTGTGTTTTTCCCTTGTGGCTTGACATCAGATGCCAGTCCTATTCGCTCACTCCTCCTCCTCCTCTCCCTCTGTCCCAAACCATATGAGGGCAGTTACAGGGCATCCTGTATTCCCTAACCAACAACTCCTTTCCCCCACCCTGTCCCCCATAACTCTCCCCTCCACCTCCCTTGTGGGGTATTACGCACCAGCTACCCCTTCACACACACACACACACACACACACACGTTCACACCTGCTGCAGGCGTCCTGGTGCCAGCCAGGTGCCAGTGATTTGGCGCTTTGCCCAGAAATGACTGGCACAAGTCTGGACATGTGTGTGTGTGTGGAGCTGCAGAGGGGCTTGTGTGTGTGTTTTTATGTGTGTGTATGTGTGTGTGCCTGCTCTTGGCAGAAGAAGCATGCCTCACATGCCAGAAATGAGTAAAGCCACTCGAGCTGTTGCATTTGAATACTCTGCATTACACGCACGTCTGAATATGTGCATGTGTATGTATTTGTGTATGTGTGACACGCACGAGGACGTCTAATTGCAGATGCTTCCGGCACGCCAGCCTTTTGGCGCCTATTACCAGTAACATAGCAGTGATTATGAGAAGTGATGTGTCTGTGTGTGTGTATATATTTGTAAACCCTGACCTGTGTGTGGCAGAGCAGAGAGAAGATTTCTTCGCTTCAGTGTACAGATCAGATCACTGCTTGAACATGGACATTACATGTCTTCAGTTTAATATTTGTGTGTTTTCACACGCTGCGGTAGCCAGGAGGGCCATTCATGGGGCAACCAGACGGTAAGAAAATAACACAAGTTGACTTGGATTAACCCAAGAGGTATGAAAGCAGAGAGGGCCAAAGATAAACATTTCTTATATCCCTCCACAGTTGTTATTTTATATCTTAGCCCTATGTCTCTTATAAAGGTAAAGAACATGTAGAAAGAGTTGGGATGGAGTGGGTTCAGAAAAACAGGGATTGTAAAGTCGATTTGAAAACGTGGGGAGCTGGTGATGCAGTTAATTCAGTCTTGATAAAGACAGGACGCACACGAGGAGAGATGTTTTTATTGTACTTGTGCTGAGGGGGGGATCTGACTGGAGGAATGAAAACAGTAATTATCATTTTTAAGCAGGTCATGTTTTGATGGCGTCATGTTTCATTATGCTGGGAAATTAGCATCGCTAAACAGGCCAGCGGGCTGAATGGTCTAATTAAGCAGCACAGAGAGGATTGTGTGTGTTCAGAGAAGGATTGGTGTGTGCATGTGCGTGCATGTGTGTGTGTGTGTGTGTGTGGTGATCAGTATTCTTGATGTTTCTTGGAGAGATGAAAGCATGCCCCATGCTTTGCGTTCATTAGCGTTAATGTTCTACCTGCATGATTTGTACAGCCTGTCTCTGAATGGGGAATCAATGGAGCACCATGGCAGGAAGTGTTTATGACGCTAATGTACTGACTGCCTTGTTAGGGATGATTACTGCGTAACGAGTTTGAGCTAATCAATGAAACCATCCCACGTCACTCATAATCCTGTATGAAACACAGGACTACAGTTTCTGCACAAAGCTCTCATATGGCATTTCTTTAAAATATAGTTTGGCACTGTTGCATTTAATTAACTTTTAATGAGCTTTACTGTTAAGTTGGGGGTAAATGGCAGCTGTTTGTATTGTTGTTGAGGTGGCTGTGGCTCAGAGGTAAAGTGGGTCGTCCACTAATCAGAAGGTTGGTGGTTATAAGATACTGAACCCCCGATGCTGTGAATGGGTAAATTCGGCATGTAGTGTAAAGCACTTTGAGTGGTCGGAAAGACTCGAAAGGCACAGTAGTCATTTGTGTATGTGTCTTAAAGGGAGTCAGTTGGTTGTGATGACACTGTTGTTTTTTCATTGTTTTTAAATCTCTTACCTTCTTCTTCAACTTCTTCCTCGCTAACCTGTGGCCTTCTAGGCTGTGCTACACAACTAAACCAACATCCCTCTCTATGTCCACAGTACCAGGGAGCACGTGACCCCGGAGATGAACAAGCTTCGTCAAAGCCTGAGGAGGAAGAAGCCCACCTACGTGCCAGAGGCCAGCAGACCGCATCAGTGGCAGGCTGACGAGGAGGCTGTACGAAAGGGCAAATGTAACTTCCCTGTTCGGGTGAGTATCCAAAGCCGGTACAGTACTGGTCTTGACCAGTATAACATAACAGTCATATTTTAATTTGTTTCTACCCCATAGGAACTATTTCCCTATAAAGTCACAACATATGTCTGACATAGCCTTTAAATCATTAAGATTTGTCAGTATAAAAAAGGGCAATAAATAATATTCTGTTAATGAAAAGGTACATATAACAAAACTGAATGTCTCAAGGTCATGAATGTATGGTATGTTGACAAGTAATCTCCCACTGTAGGTGAGGTTTACTCTGTATACATAGTAACACGAACCTCAAATAAATAAATCAGAGGGGCACATAAAAGGACAAATGAAACACATTACATTTATCTCATGCCAGTGCATAAGGACGCTCAACAATAACAGGTGCACTGGATCCTCATTTATCTAGCACTTTATCCTTTAACATCACAGAAGAAGAGCAAACCCAGAATGTGCTTCTGGAAAAGGCCAGATACTCTATTTACACCTCAAACATGTTTGTTATCTGTCCATCTCATCATTAAAATAGACTGTATCACACAAAAATGTGCTATCTTGCCAAACAAAATAAAATATTTTTTTATTTTATTCTCTCAGCTGAATGCCTCATATGCATGAAGTACAAATGGGGGCCGTTATTGATGGCACTGTTTACTGATAACCAGCATCAGTGTGTGTACCGTATGCCTATCGCTGAGAGCCTAAGTAATATGTTGAGGAGCTGGAGAGACAATGCCGGTAAGAGAGGGAGGAATGACATGGAGTTATAGATTAAGGACACCACAGGAAATGACAGGCTGAGGGATGAGGGCACACAGTGGGGACTGAGAGACATTGTGAGATATGAAATGAGAGAGCGAGAGGGATATAGAACTGGAAAAGAGAGGCATAAAGAAAGAAAGGCTGCAGACTAAATGGAGAAAGTAAAAGAAAAATACAATTCTAATGGAAACGGTCCTGATGGTAATGCTCCACAGAGCTTGCGATGGCAGTGAAGTGGAGCTTGGAGCTTTACAGCAAGGGATGGTAGCACTAAAAAAAACTTCTCAGCATCTTTACTGTTGCTTTTTTGTTCCCTGCTCATTTTTTCTTTCTTTCTCACGTCTCTGCCGTCTCTCCATTTTGACTACAAGGCATGCACTATTATGGTTTCCTCAGGTAAAGAAAACCATGTTCTTGAGCTCAATACTGAGAGAAACATTGGCCTGTTGGAAAGTTTACCAAGTGTAACAAAAAGACACTGAAGACATTGTCCTCAGTAGGTCATTGCTGAGTTGCCTGATTGATTTTTTGTCCATACTCCATCCTATGGAAAGTAGTACATATGCTGCAATTTTATAGACGTCTGTCAGCTCTAGCTAGATAATATGACATATAGTAATGATAACAAAAAACCCAGACTTAACCCAGTTAGCTCTTGCAGGTAGTGAGAAATTACCTTTGTGTGTCCCAAACCATCAACTGGCAGCACAGGTTCAAAGCCCCCTTCACACAAGTAATGTTAGCTTAAAAAATGTACATATATGAAATTCCTGCTGCACAGGTTAAGAGCACAGAAGTAATTTTGGATATAATATTAGTAACTTTAGCATGTATAAAAATCCTGCTGTTTACCATCAAATTAACAGGGCTGGATCTAGCAAAATATTGATGGGGGGCTGCATGGAGACTAAGGTGGCAGAAATATGTGCAGATTTAATCGCAAACAATCACATATTTGTTTAGAAAAGCCCCCAAATGAAGATATTTTGACTCAAAAATATAAAAAACATTACATTTTTGTGGCACATTAGCAAATCATTGAATAGAAATATCTAAAGATAGTATTAAAAATCAGTTTCATGGAACTTAAATTCTAAATGAATGCGTTAAAACTGACAGCATTTGACACCAAACTGGGATGGCAGTTGAGGGGGCCAGGTTTTTTGTAGGGATGCCACCCCTCTAGATCTACCCCTGGACACTAGATGTAGATAACTGCTGTGTGTACAGGCAAACTTTCACTCAACAGTACAGGAGCTAATAAGTATTGTTCACAGCCAGAGTATAACAGATGTTATACAGTTGACTTTTCCATCCATAGCCAGCAACATGTTACAGTGTGAGCTGTCTTACCTTAACATCAGTTTCTGTGCAAAACCCTTAACATCCAGGTGTGTCCAGATCGCTAGATGAACATACTGAACATTTTCCACACTTTGCTTTTGAGTTTTAATGCTGCGTATGACACAAAAACAACTTCTCACGTTGATCTCCTCATAAGCTCATTAATTTCAGTTTGTTTTCTACCCCCCTGCGTGTGTGTGCATCTAATGATGAAATCCCTCTACTTGTGATCTGCAAACTAAAAAACTTTACAAAAAAACATCTCATTCATAAACCAACAACACCTATTGTCCACGTATTGTTTACAGCAGATATTTTAGTTCAGGGACCAGTCTTCCCTAATCTCCGAGCTCTCCTTAAAACTCTAAAACTTGTCTCTTCCTCTTTCCTCGCCACTTGGCTTCTGACTAGAACAAAGCCACGGGGAGCTTTAATTGTGTCCCTGTGGCCTCTCTGTACGCCACAGAGCAGAACACTGGAGACACAACAGAAGGGGATGTGAGGCTATAAATGATTACAGTCCTCTCTCACTCGCTTTCTCTCTCTCTCTCTCTCCTGTCCTTATTATCAGCAGCAACACGTGGCTGTAAGTCTAGTATGGGTGCTTATTAGCTACTTGCCTGTCACTTACAGAATTACTGATGGGGCCTAATGAGGCTTACTTGTTTTTCTGTCACTTTGTCTCTTTCTTTTGTTTTGACATAGTTTTCAGTTCAGCTCAGTCTGCTTTACTAGCATGAGGGTTCGGTGAAGTGTTGCTAAAACATGAAAACACAGTGAAATGAAAAAACTTCACAACAATCAACAGCTGTTTGGTTTCAACTATTAATGTTTCTGCTGTCTTTGCTCTGCAGTACCTGGGGTTGGTTGAGGTGGAGGAGTCGAGAGGGATGCATGTATGCGAGGAGGCAGTGAAGAAGCTAAAAGTTGTAAGTATCCCACACACACACACACACACACACACACACACACTTACACTCCCCTGCTGCAGTACTGGAGGTTCACTTTGTTGTATAGAGGTGGTTACAAATACTAACCCCAAGCACTTCACTGGAGCTCATTACAGACCCAGTTGCGCAAAGCTCATGCACCAAAGTATCGACTGCAGGAGTATACACACACACAAAAACACACACACACGTTCAATACTGTCTGCAGTTACCTCTCCCGTCTTGTTATTTTCTTTACCACTTTCATCTCCCTCATCTCCCTCCCCAGCCTTATTCCATATGTCTGTCTGTGTTTCTATCCGTCTGATCCCACTACGCCCAAGAGAGCAGAAAATGAGATCTGGGCTAATATAAACTCACACTGACACACACAAACACACACACGCACACACAGTTTGCCCCCCTGGGAAGCTGGATTCGGACAGGGAGCGTGTGAACAGAGTGACACAGACTGGCCAGTGTCAGACAACCACACACTCAGCAGTGAAGACAGCAGGAGTCTGTGTCACTTTCTCCACAACCTTCACATCTGTAGCCTCGGCTTTTGCTTTTTTTGATGCAACTGGAATTAATCTTAACTTTCTTATCAAAGTCAACAAAACTGCAGAGCTACACATTTTGTATATTCAGTGTACACTCATCCTAAACCTGATTCCCCAGGTGAGAATGTAACTTTATCTAACAAAGAGCACGACGTTGTCAGAAAATCTCACAGTTAACTGAATCACAGGCAGTTTAAAGCGTACAGGAGAAATGTTTCATGCATTCACTCTTTTCTCCCTCTCACAACCATGTCCTTTAATTTGCTTTTCTCTTGTGATTCTCCCCTGCTGGATCAACTCTATTTCTTTCCATCCTCCATCTACATCAGCATCTTTCTCTAGCAGTGCTCTTTGCGGTTTCTCACACTGAAAACTTCCTACCAAAGTTATCTCTTTCTTTTCATTCCCCTGCTCCGCCTCCTCATTTAGCTTTCCTCTCCTTCTCTGCTCTTTTCCCTCCATCACTCTCAGTTTCTTCACCTCTGTTTTCACTCCCTCTGTCTTCCTCTCAATGGGATTATGCAAAAATTGAGGCTCCTTGTCACTTCGCTGTGGGTTTCAAAGCCATTGCCTGCAGTGCCCCTTCTTTCTGTTTCCCTTACGTACACACACACATATGCACACACACTTGCATGGAGTTGTTGCTTTTTTAGTCTGAGTATTTTTAGCTGGGCCCATGCTGAGTGTGTTATTAGCTCTGCCTGGTGCCCTCCTCTGGAGAAATAATTCTTAGTGCCAGCTGGCATAGTTTTTACCTCTGCCCGCCTCTCAGCTCTTAACCCACCACTACCTCATCTGCTGTAAGGATGTAATGATCACTTTACATAACCATGAGTAGTAGTAAAAGTGGCTTTACATGCTAGTAGCTTGTTGTCGCACCTCTGGTGAAATGCATTTACTGTGCTATTTGGTCTCTTGCCTAATTTATTTACTCTACTTCTACTACTTTTCTGTCTTTCCAGAGTGGGAAAAAGACAGTCAAGGCAGTATTGTGGGTTTCAGCTGATGGACTCAGGGTGGTGGATGACAAAACCAAGGTAAGAAAACACATTTTGTGTGTGTGTGTTGTCTCTGACTCCTTGTTTCATCCTCCCCTCTGTCTTCCCTTTCTGTCTACCTCATGGGGAACAAGGACAAGGAGGGCGTGTATGTGTCCTACAGTCATGTACAGTACACACTACACATGCATTTTATCTATGTCTTCACAGAGGTTTCAGGTCAGAAGAAGACAGAAATGTCTATTCAAGTCCTCTAAAACTCTTGGCACATATATCCTCACATTCAGTTAAGACACATTTTCCATCCTCAGACCACCAACTAAAGTCTCATTCTGTCCCAGATTGAGGACGCCACCTTAAGGCTGACAACAGAAGGATCCACCATACAGCTACCTTCTTGATGCTCCCAGGCTACTTTGGGCCTATGTATATATGTGTGTGTGTGTTTCCGAGCTGACATATGTGACTCATGGTTTCTTGCTGAAGGTGCTTAGTGGGGGAGGGAAGATCAAGTAAACACAGACACACACACACACACACATGCACTTGAGGAGTGTCTGGTGGCTAGGGAGGCCTCCTACAGAGTGAGTGCAGCTCACTGTGGCTCTATTGAAAGCAGAGCAGAATAAAGAGCAGTAGAGAATAGAGGAGAGAGAGAGCGAGCCCGATGGAGCAGCCTCTTTCTCTCGTTTTCCTTTTTTCTTGTGTTTAGAGGCCGCACACACATGACCTCACCCCTCCCAATCCCTCAGTCCCACTCCTACTCTCTCCCTCCACTTTAATCTCCCTCCTGTTTTTCTGTCAGTGATGTATCTCATCTAAACATATTAAAGGATAAGACTAGCAACATTCTATAACAATTTATTCTTCTTATTGTCAACAAATCCGATATAATAATATCTATACAGATATTTTTATATCTCATTGCTCTGTACCATAGAGATCCATTGTTGTTTAAAAAACAGTAATAGCACACCAGTGAGCCACACTGTTGCACTGACTGGCAAATGTATTTTATTAGGATGAGCATGGGTGCTGTATTTTATTAAGTCAATCCCACATACGTCCTCCTTCTGCTTTGAACACTCACCAGTGGACCGAATTTGTATTAATCCACATGTGAAAATAGTCATAGTCACATGCACTATTTTTTCATGTTGGGGTAACTTTTGGGATCGGTTTTGATCAATTTATATCTTCAGTTATAATAAACTGGCTTTGAGAGACACAGTCAGGATAGGGAAGTCATAAAGTCCCAAGAAACAGAAAAATGTATTGTTGGTTTTGTTTGTTTCATAGAATTAGTATTTGTTGACAATGAGTCAATATATAATAATACATTTAAGATGAAAAATACGACAGACAAGAGCAAACTGAGATTTATATGTTTGCACTGTTATGCTTTCTTTTCATCCTCTTTTACCATCTTGTCTAAATAACATTTCCTGTTTTTCCCCAGCCTTACTCCTTCTATAATGGTGAGGTGCATTTTAAACCGATACAGTATTTCAATTTCTTGTAACATGAACTGGTTTCAAGTTTAGAGTAAGTAGAGTAAGTCTAGACTTACAAACTAGCTAAGACTCCAAAATTGATAAATGTTTGGTGGGTTAAAATCGTTCGAAACAAAAGTCATTCCGTCAGTCAGCTCATATGTGCATGTTTGGTAAACTTTGTGCCCCCTTTCTGTAAAAAAAAAAACAGGAGAAGCACAATTCAGTTATTGACATAATTTCCACTTCAAGAAAGTTAAACTTCTGTTATTTTCCAGAAATCTCATCAATATTTTACAGTTCTCCTCCTTCCTCCTTTCTTTCAGTGCCTCTTCGTCACCTTTTATCATCAGTTCATCCTCCGTATATGAATCAGTGTGCCTGCCTAATAACACCCACACAGCCATTATTCAAACACTTTCCCACCGTCAGTGAATGTACTGTATATGTGTGCGTGTGCAAAAGGGGCACATCTCGACATGACCTTCATAATGCATCAATAGAAAGAAACAGTAAAGTCTTTTCTTGCACTCAAGGCAGAGAGACTTGTCTGCATAGATGAGACACTGTGAGTCACATGCTGCTGTGCGGTATTCTTCCTTTCAGTGATGAAGGGACATGATCTGAATCATTTTTACCCACAAACACTTTCTTCTTGCGCTTCTCCTCAAAAATACACCTCACATGAGCACATACACCACACATTGCTCTCTGCTCAGCCTTTCACCTCAGCACCAGCATCCCCCTTGATTCACTAATTGGCCTACAATGAATGGACTGTTATTCTTCATCCTCTTTCTCCTTCTTTTCCCCTCCTCATCCTCTATCTTCCCCTCACTTTGTTTTCGGCGACACTGGGGGAGAGGAAGGAAGTGCGTGGATGAGTGTGTGAACCCTCATTCTCTTTCTTCCCTTTCTTGTCCCTCTCGCCTCTTGTTTTTCCTTCGCTTTCTGCTTTTGGTGAGTCAAAGAGGTGAGCCAGGGGCCCCTTAATGTACACAGAGAAAGAGAAGGGCCCCTTTTAGTTTCCTCTGTAGTGACTATAGACACAGAGACAGGCTGAATAACCCCTTTATAGAAGGAAGGGCAAGTGGTGGAAACATCTCAGAAATGAAAAGAGGGTTCAGTGTCATTAGTGTGTAGTCACTTGCTTTTCTGTCATTGGTGGATATGTAAATAGATTGGAGTGAGAGGGGTTTCATGGGGTTAACTGAGGTTGAAAGCAGTGTGTCAAGTATTGGATCGGCCTACACGCTGGTGTGCTCAGTACTAAAGCTATATTTCCTGTCTGTCATCGTTTAGTTAAGCTGCTGTTAGAAAGACAAAACCACGTCAGATGTGATTTGATGCAATCTCCTTGCTGGAACAATTCGATTGACTTGATTGTGGTGCTGTCAAATTGGATTCTCTCTGAGCCCTCTGTCTCTCTTTCTTGGTTTCTCTCTCAGGACCTCATTGTGGACCAGACCATAGAAAAGGTTTCATTCTGTGCTCCTGATCGTAACTATGATAAGGCCTTCTCCTACATCTGCCGAGACGGTACTACCAGACGGTGGATGTGCCACTGCTTCATGGCTCTCAAAGACTCGGTAAGGGGTCAATTAACCTCCCATCTACCCCTCAGGGAGTTTCTCTATATTAGGGGATTACTCTCCATATTCTGAGACAAATTGACATCATCCAGCTGAGTTTATATTAAAAGTTGAAACCTTTATGAATTTCCAAACAAATTTAAACTGCACATAATTGATTAGCTTACAAAGAAACTACAGCTCCCATGAAAATCTACCAGCATGGCAGCACGGGTACTTATGTCATCATAGCTTGGTTTAGTCAACAAGCATGATGTGTTTTTTTTCAACTTTTTAACTGTAAACTTTTACAGCATTTGGTACTCTCTGTACCACTCTTATTACGGACATATCTGAGTAACCATTGCCATGGTGTTTGTTTAAGGCTACTAAAATGACTGACTGAATAAGTCCTAGTTGAGTGTTCAGATAGTGTCATCAATTTTACTGTATATATTTTTTAATTACCTTGTATCCTTGTAGACAATATTAGATATTTTTTTTAAATTACTGTCATTATCTGCACAGAGTAAACCACATGGCATACTATTGAGTAATCATTGGTTTAACTAACAATTAAACCTATTACAAATGTCAGTGGGATATTGAATGATGAGGATGAAAAAATGACGAAAGTCCTAATATTTTTCTGATTTAAGCTTCTAAAATGTGATTTCCTACATTTTATAGGATTATGAAGCGCATTTAAATTTTGGACTGTTTATTACTTTTTACTTTTTTAATTACTTTTATCTATTCTAACCTCTGTTGTTTCCATTTGCCATTGGGATGAGAAGGTTGTAAAGTAAGACAGCTGCAAGAGAACCAGTGCTGTCATGGTGCATTGTGGATTCAACCCCGTGGTGGTTTCATCAGCTTAGACCGTGAGTTGGATTATTAATGTGGACGGAAGAGAGCGCAGCACAGACCTGCGGGATTAGGAGAAGGGATTAGACAGAAGCCTGTGGAGTTATCTGTCCATCTCTGTCTATCTCTATTTCCACCACGCTCTCCACATTTCTATCTCCTCATCCTAAACTGAATTGTACAAGTGGACATGGCTGTCTATAAAGAGTGAATGAGTGAAGAAAGGCAGAGAGGGTGTTGGAGAGGTGTTGGGAAAGTAGAAATTAATCGCAAAAGGCAGGCTGGTATTAGTTGCATTCAGTGCCACAGAGCATGAACTCGTATTGACAGCGGAAGAGATTTGTGGTTGTTAATTGAACCCTATTCTGATCCTCACTGTGATGGCTGTATTTTATGTGAATGTATAAACTTGATTTGAAGGTCGACAAACAATCATATAAACATTAAAAAATCTCTGTAGAAAAAAACACAGTCAATACAGCCAACAGTGAAGACTGGTTAAGATTTGACCTTTAAACTGTATGTTTTTTGCTCCACCAGGGGGAGAGACTGAGCCATGCAGTTGGCTGTGCCTTTGCTGCCTGTCTGGAGAGGAAGCAGCGTAGGGAGAAGGAGTGCGGCGTGACGGCTTCTTTTGACGCCAGTCGCACCTCATTTGTGCGTGAGGGCTCCTTCCGCGCCAACTCTTCCTGCAGCCAGCAGGGCAGCAGCAGCGAGCGAGATGACAAGCTGCCAGACAAGAAGAAAGGTAGGAAGATATTTCAAAGTGTGCACACATTCAAATATGGGCCTTTCAAGTACTGCTCATACAGTTGAAATGTGAATTGATCCTTAAAATGTTAAAAAGTCAAGCTGAGTAAACTCATAGAGAGTCACAGTTACAGGATTATGTAAAACAATAACAGGTCTTAAACAGAAATGACCACACATGCACTTCCTCCTCTAGACCAACCTTCTGCAATCCCAGCCCTCCCACCTGGCACCGCCTCCCCACCTGAGGGTGCAGCATCCCCCATGGAGCGGCCAGAACCTGGCGGGCCTCACGCCATCCCTCGTCGTCACGCGCCCATCGAGCAGCTGGTGCGCCAAGGCTCGTTCCGGGGATTCCCCGCCCTCAGCCAGAAGAACTCTCCCTTCAAGAGGCAGCTGTCGCTCCGTCTCAACGACCTGCCATCAACACTGCAACGCAAGACCGACTTCCAGGCCAAGAACCCTGGTGAGTTGGGAAGTTCTTGAAGTTAGACTCATAAATAATGATGAAGGGACCTGCTGACCTTCTGACTTAACTAAAGGTTTACTAGGGTCAGACAGTCTCAACCTTTTGCTGCTGCTGCAGAAAGACTGCAGAAATTGCAGTATGTAAAAGAGCTGGGGTTAGGGACTGTATGAAAATGATTAGGGGGAGGTGAGGTCAGAAAGTGGCGTGATGATTTTCATTTTTCTCTAAAGCAAAGAATTATATCAAATTATTTTTTGGTATTTTGAAGAAGTCAAGTCACTACTATTAGAGTTGCACACAAATAGAAACTACACATGGCGACGCGTTCCACTTGTGTCATGGTTGTTTGCAGATTGGAAAATTATTATATTTTCCATTTGGCTTCCGTTTGGGATCACTGACTCCCATCTGAAGAGGTCCGAGCAATCATATTACAAAATAAACCTTCACCAATCTCAGATGAATTTATATTCATGTTTTCATACAGACAAGGTGTAGTTCTTCTTGCCTTTCATTAAATGTGGGCCAAGATAAAAAGCAGTTATGTGAAGTGCTGTTATTATTGCTGTTAGTGCCAGCGCTGATGGCTGGGCATGTGCGGCTCTCTAAGCTCTTGGCTTTTTACTAAGGACAATTAATAATAACTGATTTGCCCTGCACAGGTTGAACAGGAACAGGAACGCACACACATAGACACACCCACTCTGTGTGGTACCACAGGATCAAAGCGCTCAGTAGCAAGGCTGATTATAGTCATTAGGAGAGATGAGAGAGTTGACTGGGGGACTCCTCTGACTGGAATACTAAACCACAACATTTAACTCCCACTCTCGCCGTCTCTCATATTCTCTCCTTTCATTTCCGTCTCTCACTCCCCCATGAACGTTAGTGTATATATCCAGCAAATTTGGTGCAGATTTTATATGCACTGTGCTCTCTCTCTTTCATTATCACACACACCGATGCACACAGCCAATTCCTCTGCCTTCCTGCTCCCTTGTGACTCTCTGAACAATGTGTGTATTGATTTGTGCGGTCAATCAGCTGTCCTGTTAGCCTTCAGCAAGCCCTTTGCCAGTCCTCAAACCTGCACCAAGAGAAACGCACACATACACATATAGACACACACATAAAGTGCTGAGAGTGCTTCTGAACTCTGTGTGACATTAACAAGAGTAGGGGAAGACAAGAATCACATTGTTGGTCTTTCCGGAACATAGCACAGAAAAATCTTTAATGTGAGACCTTACAGATGCTTCCAGCACCCTATGAACCTCCAAATATAATTCAAGGCTTGTAGCCACACAATGTACTCAGATGAGACAGATGTTTGATGTTTGACCCACAGTGACCACATCTGTGGTAAACACATATTCATTTATTTCACTTTAATCCCACTCCTCTATACATTAAATTCTTCAGCATGTGTATCTTATAACATTTAAACTCAGTGTCAAAAATGTCATCAAACTCCTCTTTGTCCAAAGTGTTTTGGATAAAATGTGACAGCAAACACAGGAAGGATGCAGGAGTGGAGCAGAGCAGGAGGAAGAAACAAAATTCCTCTGTCTCCAAGGCCTTCGTTGTGAAGGGAGGGACCAGGGAACGAAGACCAGGGAATTAGATATGATATCTATTTATATCTGCGGTCTGTGCAGGAGAGGTTTAAAGCTGTAGTCCAAATCAAAGTCAGACAGGAACATTATGCCGCCTAATCCCTCATTGGTAGGATCAGTTACAGCTGGTTTAAAAACATGGATAAGCTAAGCCAAATTCACCTCTGTCTGAGTCGTCCCCCTGCACAAGACACACCAGGCAATGACATAGCGGCCTGAAATGTACATAGAGTATAATGTTACATAAGTGTAGCTCAAACAGTTCAGCTTAGTCTGTAAACATTTTTCTGACTGAGTATATAAAACCTTTTTAATAAGAAGTGATTAGCACAATGCCATGTTTGTTTTGAGAATCTTGTGTTTTTGGTGCTTTTTAGGTCAATAGCGGCCAGCATCAAAGTCTTCATCTGCTCCACTTTCTATGCTTTTGATGCTAACTGGGACTGTTAAACAAATGAATAAATATTTTTTCTCCCTCTTTTTGTTTGTTTGTCCCTCTACTCAATCCTCTTCTTCTCTCATTCCACCTCCTCTTTTCATTATCTTCCTTATTGCCATTGTCTCGCTCTCTTTTTTCCCATCTCTCCTCCCCTCTGTGTTTCCCTTTCTTGCTAGTACCAGAGATGGACATGGGGTTGCCAGGTGAGGGAGACAGTAGTATTAATGCCCTGTGTTGCCAGATCAACACCTCCTTCACCAAGCCATCGGACGAGCTCTTCTCCAACCCCTCTTTGTCTGCAAATGGCCCTCCAACCTGCACTGTGCCCCCGGCCCTGCCTCCACCGCCTGCACCAATGCAGGGTAAGAAAGATTGCATCAGATCAATAATTGTATTGATTTTTTTGTTCAAATATTGCACACTCTGAACCAAACTCAGTGGTGAGGAAATAATTACACTTATTCTAAATCTTTAACTTTATCCCTCCAGCCACTTCTTCCTGGGTGCAGCCAGAGCCTCCACTCCACTCTCCTCCTCCGGTTTCTGTGGCGATGCAGATGCATATGCAGATGCAGAGTGGACACAGGCGCACACCCTCGGAGGCTGAGAGATGGCTGGAGGAGGTCTCCAAGGCTGTCAAAGCTCAACAGACCCCTCCCCCAGGCCCCACAATCCCCACCATCCCTGGACCTCCCTCCATGTCGAGTCAACAGATGTCCAGTCAGGCAGCCATATCAGCCGCCCAAGTATCCACTGTCCCGATGTCCCTTGGCACCATGTCCAAACCTCTCATCTCAGGCCCCCCTGCTCTCTCAAGTCAGGCCCCGATGCCCCTCCCACCCATGTCACTATCATCAGTTCCTCTAATACCAGGCCCACCCGTGTCAGGCCCCCCTATGTCTCTACCTTCCATGTCCATTCCCACGATGTCCGGTCCGAGCATGTCTGGGGCCCCCATGATCCAGCCCTCCCTCCCCGGGCCGCCAGGCTCCCTTCCAAGCACCATGCAGCCATTCCCCTTGGCTTTTGATGCCACTCCAGCCCCTGTGGGAATGTTCGCCAGCCAGCCTGTCCAACCAGCATTCGTGCCCATGCAGACCTACATGCCAGGCTTGGCCAGCAGTATGACCTATCCCAACGCCAGCGTGCCTGTGGTGGGCATCACTCCATCACAAATGGTGGCTAATGTCTTCTGCACTGCTACAGGCTCATCTGGTGCAGGTGGAGCCATGGGCTCAGTCGTAGGAGGACCCAAAGTGGGGTCACTCGGAACAGTTGGGCCATACCATTCACACCCAGGAGCACCTGCTGCAGTCGGGCACAGTGGAGGGTTTTCCACACCGCCATTCTCTTCCACTCCGCCATTATCAACAGCCATTAATGGCCTCCCACCGCACAGCAGCGTCATGATGGACCTCCAGAATGGGACCACCAACAGTGGTGGCAGCAGTAGCAGTTGGCCGCCAGAGGGCAGCCAGCTAACAGCTCCGGCAGCCAGCGATTCCCAAGACGATGATCGTTTTGAGGCCAAGTGGGCGGCACTGGAGGCCAAACCAGCGCCTCAGCAGCCTGGGAATAAGGCACCAGCTGCAGCAGCCAACCCATTTTCCAACAATCTTCAAAAGACTTTTGAGATTGAGCTTTAAGCCAGAGCTGGCCTCCCAAAGCTGTAGCTCTAGCCCTGGGGTTAAAGCCTGAGAAAGCCAGGCGCTAATTCCAGCATCTCTGCTTAGAACAGGATTCCGGTCCTTAAAGTTACCCTAGCATCTGACCTGTGGCAGCCTAGCAACTTGCTAAAAGTTCTCATAGGAGTCTATGATATATTGATCTTAATTTCTTTCTCTACACACCCACGAGAGCTTGGAAGGAAGTTGGCAGATTGCTGGGCTGCCATTGGAGGATCAGGTCTCTAGCTCACTAGACTTGATGGACTGAATCCTTCCACTCTACCCGCTACCCACCTCTTTTCCCTGCTTTCACGTCTCCACTCTGGCTTTACTTTACCTGCTGCAAGTCCCTGGATGTACTGTATGTGCCCCCTCGAGGACAATGTGGGGGGACACAGCTCAGTGGTTTCTTTCTTTAAAAGTGGACTCCACTTAGATGCATTCCAAACCCATGAAATGTTTTTCTTTTTCTGGTGGAGATCTTGCTGGAGAATTTAGCGGATATGACTACATTACAAGACGTGCAGAGAAGTGATTTGTTGACTTCTGATCAGACTGATGCTGATCTCAGCCAAGCACAGCAAAAGTTTGGATACCTGAAAGGACTAGCCAATGATGTAAGACCCGACCCTACCAACTCAAAAGGACTTACTGACTAATAGTAGAGATTTATGGCCAAAATTATTTTATTTATTGTATTTCATTTTTTTATTTTAACAAGTTATATATACTTAAAAATCAAATTTTTAAAGCAGTGTTTCAGGAGCATTTTGTTTTCCATCCCCTATATTTATTTTTGTTGAACCATAAAGAGGAGGAAAACTACAGGTAGCACACAGGAAACAGGTGTGATTGGGCAGCAGTAGAGGGAAACATAACAGGCAGGGGCGGATCTAGAGAAATATTCATTAGACAGCAATAGGGATGGATCCGTTAAGGTGTAGCAGAAATACATGCTGATTTAATTGCAAACAATCACATATATCAATATTTGCTTGGAAAAGCCCCCAAATTAAGTTATTTTAACCAGGGTTAGGGTTTTTAATTTAAATGTATTATTATGTAATGCATAATAGCATTGAATGGAGATATCTCAATACATTGTTTTATTTCCAAATATTCAGACATTTTCCTAATCTTTTTTTATTGAACTTAGTCTAAATTGTGGACATAACAGATCATTAAATTAATTTCCGTCTTTTAACATTTTATTTTTGATGAAATGAATCTAAATTAAATGTGTTTAATTTAAGTAAGTATGTTTTTGGTATTTGACGCCAAACAGTTTTTAAAGGTGGTAGCTGCCACCCCATGTCACCCCTCTAGATCCGCCTCTGGAAACAGGAACCAAATAGCAAGGGCTGACAGTACAGCCGTGTGTAGTGCAACATGTGAGACAGTAAGTGTATATAGCGGCATGTTTCTTCCAACCGTTAGCCCTAACGTATACTGTATACGCTCCACTGCTGGTGAGGCCAGTTGAGTCAATATAGCTTCACTTTCTGTTGCTAAAGCTTCTCTTCAAGGGTTACTGGGACATGAAAAATCACTTCTGGATATCCAGCACGCAGACACTCTGGACAGGACAGCACAACAGCCCTTTGGACTCCATCTTCTCCAGAGAAATCCAAGGAACTTCAAAAACTCAGTGGAAACAGAAAAAAATATGCTCTATAACACTGTGCAACTGGTTAGAAAATGATGCACTACATTCCAACATTCATAAATCCTTTAATGTGTTCAAACACAGGGTATAGTCTCATCACGTACAGTATGACTGTGTGTTCACCTCTACTGTACTACTGTATCTCATTACAGACTCAATGATTTGAGGTGAAAATAGAAGAGGAACATGAGCAGACATAGACTGAGGTGTGGCAAATGAGAACTGATAGAAATAAAGGTTATACTGTATTTTCTGATGCAGAATTATTAAGAGCAGATTAACAGGAAGAGGAAATATAGAACAGCGGAAGGATAGATTGCTAGAGCAAATAAGGAAGGTTAAGCTGTATGTGAGAGACTGAAGGAGAGGATGGAGTTATACCTTTAAAAAATGAGATGGAGGAAGTCTGAAGAGAGGAAAAGGAGATAGGATATGAAAAGAAAGATGAGAGTGAGAGAAAGAGTAGCCCAGCATCCCAGAACTGTCTGCCATTTTTACATCTTCGTCTCAAAGCTGAGCCACTTCCATTTCAGCACCATGTTCCTCAACTTCTAAAACCTCACAAACAACATATTTCATCATATTTAAAAAAAAAAAACGTTGCTTATTATATAATTGCAGTCTCATAAACAAGATTTTTTCTAAGTATGTGCAACTTCCTATATAGTTACAACTTCAGTAATGTCAACAAAGCTTTCTGTGTTTTAACTTGCAGTTTCTGGCATGATTCATAAAAAAGTTCAGGTCTGTTTAAGAAGATGCAACATTACAAAGTAGAAATGTTCTTTATAGACGGGTTTTTCCATGTGACGAATGGCAAACAGGTGGTTTCTGTATGTTCTATAAACACTGTAATCTGACTAGAGATGCTCCTGCTATGTTCCTTGGCAATTGAATTGTATGGATATGGACTGGCAGTGATTAGGTTTCCTGCCCATTAACTCCCCACAGTTTAATTAGCTTATTGGGTCTCTTCCTGTGGCAGCGATCCCGTCTGATAGGCTGCCTTCTCAGAAAACTTAAATTTATGTGCCACCGGCCTGATGTATACCATCTCGGGTCCTCCCAGGGTTTTGTCCTTTGTTTTCGGACAAATCAATATTTCTGCCCCACCAAACAAATCCAAATAGCTCTCTCTACCCTCCTCTCTCTACAAGACAAGACTGACTCACTCATGAAATCAATGCTTTTATTACATTGAAAATATATTTTAGCCCTCGACTCTTGTTTGCACGCCCTCCAAATTATAAATGTAGGTTAATTGTGTTCCGCATTAAAGCAAACTAAATGACCTCATAAACTTGATTGTAAAACCATAGTTTAGTGATGGTAACAAAGCAAACCAGTGGAATTTATTTTTAATCTTTATTTACAGAATTTTTGTATTTAAACCTACATATTTGTATTGTAATTACATTGTACAAAAGATAAATAAAGTAATATAATATTACTCCTGCTCATGTTTTGTAGGTGGTGGCTTTTTAGCTTTTCATCTTTCTCTTTCCTCAAGTGAGCCTTTGATTCTCTCAGTTTGTCTCTCTATCCTTTATACTAACCTTTATTTTATTTTATTTTCCTTTCTGCCTCCAAAGATCTCAACAGCCATGTCCAGTTACTGATTTGACTCTACCTGCCTTTCTTTTTTTTTTCACCCAGCCGCTGAGTGGATGCAGGGCGAACCTCTAAAACATGTCAGACGTTTAAAAATGTGAAGCATGTCCATCATCACAGTGGATGGCCAGAACTTTTATTAAAACCCTGGTTCTGGAAGTCCCATTCATTTTTCCCATTAAGTGACACTGTGATCACTTGGGTGTACCAAATGTACAAAAGATGAAGAACTGAAAATATCTGGTTCTTTTATAAAAAAGTCAAAGGAACAAGCCCTGTGTCCATTGAAGTTTTGGGGTAAGCGTTAACAACCCCAAAGGTGCATTACAGTAAGAAACATCCAATCACAGAGCTTAAAATTCTGTGATCTAATGGTAGGTGGAAACTAGATCTAACTAATTTTACATTTTGTGTTCTCTGGTCGCTTTCTTGCTGGGATTTATATCAGTCTGTTAAATATGCAACAGTCAGAACACGGTTACCTTGTGTTGTGTTGCATAAAAAGGTAATTGCCTAACAGACCTCTAAAATCATAAGTAAACCTGTTTTAAAAGTATTTCTGATTTCTGATTTCTGATTTATCTTGTTTAATCTGTAAAACAACTGAGGTGTAAAAATCAAAAGTTGTGTTTTTATTGTCGCTGCATCCATTTTATCAAACAATCACGCTATAACATGTAATCAGTGAACTTTAGAAAGTTTTTTTTTTTTTTTAACTCTGAACAGAGCCAGGCTAGCTGTTTACTACGGCTTCCAGTCTTTTTGCTATGTCAGTTAATGACTGCTCTTGCCTGCTTCATATTGAACAGACAAATATTATAGTGGAAACCAAATAAGCAAATTTCTAAATCTGTATCATATTTGTATGCCACCTTATTCCTCTCCTCATCATCTGTACCTTGTCTCTCTCTGCTCAACCCCCCAGCTCCTGGATGCTTTCTAACCAGCGCTGTCCTCTAGTCAGCGTTGGTGCTGCTGCAGCTCAGGTCACTAATGGAACTAGACAAGGCCGCTTTTCTTCTTAAGGGCCGTGAGAAACAGGGAGGACACATACACACACACATGCACACTGAGCTCTTGAGTGTTGGTAGCAGTAACTCTCACCCAGCCATTGTCCTCTGATCTGAGGACAGAGTCAGTGTGTGTGTGTGATGTCAAAGAGGGAAGACCAGCTGAGCTCGATAACTGTTGTAAAACTTGTGTTTTGTGTTTTAGCATGGCCCTTATTACAGGTTACTGTAATTCATTCATTGTGCACCATGCTGCTTATATGAAAGTTAAATCAAAGTCTGTGTTAATGAGGCCAAATTATGTAGGTTCTTTGATCAGGGCTGTCTTTGTTCTGCACAATCTGAAAATGAAAACTGTAATTCTCAGTTACACACTGTGTCAAAGTCTCAAATCTATAGTTCTTTTCCTCAACAGTATAACCCCAAACCCTAACCCTTTCTCTCATTTCTTAAACACATATACACCAAAAGGGCAAGAATTAGTGTACAGTATGTATCACAGTTACTGGACACAGAGGGACAATGGCCCGGTCATACAGGAGGGAGGATGCAAAATCCTTCTGTAGCCGTTGGTTGGAAAGAGGCATTTGGTGAGAGTCTGGATAAATTAGCTGACATTATCCACTCAGGTAGCTAGCAGTTCATCCATGTTAGCAAGCAAGCTAATCTTAGCTAACATTGTGAACATTGCTAACAATGTTAGCTAACATTAGCCATATAAAACCACAGTATCGCCATATATAGCACATGCTTTTCAGTAATGTTAGCTTTCACTTTAGACTGTGTTGCAGGTCGTTGTTGACATTTGTGGATGCCATTTCTAAGTTAAACACTGTTAGACAGCTAGAGAGGGCAATTGGGAGCACACGATGCAGGTATTTGATTTGAGCCATTATAGGCAACCAAGAAAGTCGGGGAAGGTCTAATTTTTTAAGTTGTATTACAAAACAACTGTTCAGACATTGGCAGTACAAATTGATTAATAGCCTACATGTAAACTGCTTTACATTCGCACACATTGCACCTTTTAATGTTTTGAGTAAGTGACGGCCTTTTGCAGGACAAATGATATGATGTTTCCCTTAATGTTTTGAGAACCACCACAGTGTTTCTGAAAATGTGCTTAAGCAATTGAGAAAAACTGTAGTGTGGTGGCTAGCTTTATAAAATGTTCAAAAATGTATTCTAAATCCTAGTTTTTCATCTTCAGAATATCCACAGATAATTATATGATTAATAAGTATGATTAATATTCTACATTCTGGATGACAATATACCATCTAAACATAACTTTTATAAAATGAGTTAATAATATATTATATATTTAGTTATATTTGCTATAATAACAAACTCAATTTATTTTACCCACACACACACAGCATTAGGTGAACCACAACACTGCCTCCACCTACCTGCGCACTTTGCATCATACAATAAAGTTGCTGAAAACAGTCTACATAGGAGATAGAGATGCTTGGTTGCCATGGCTACGCAGTGAAAGACTAATTTATAACAGCTAAGAAGCACTGTAGTCAGCAAAAACTGCCTCCTATACATTAAAATTGAAGTGCCAGAAGAAATGATAGTAGCTGAAAATACAATATCATCCTAATGGATTCTCTAGGCAGGTAGGACAAATTTGTGTGTGTGTGTGTGTTTGTGGGGGGGGGGGGGGGGGGGAGAGGACGTCCCCCCTGTTCTTTATTTGTGTTTTAAAAATCTAGTTTTTTTGCACATACTGCAGCCAGGACTCAAATGAAGTGAAATGATTTGAAGTGTGTGTTGTGCTCATTCAGAACAAATTAATTCAAGCTAATCATACACAAGCCTGTGTGTGATTTTTGCATGGTGTGACTCAACGCAACTAATGCTAGCAGACAGACAGAGATCTGAGTGTGGATGGAAAACATTACTGTGGGCTATGTTGTTTCCACTTCAAATTATGAACCCTCTCTCTCTCTCTTACTCTGCTTTTAATGGATGCAGAATTAAGGTTGTGCTGCTTTCCAACTTTTTTGCATCACTGTGTATATACACACACATATATATATACACAATTAAATATATATACACAATTAAAGGTATATACACAATTAAATAGAAATTGAAAGGAAGGATGTGTCTATGTGATATATGTGACCAAATAAGTGTGTGTATGCGTCTGTGTGATGGCAACGTCTGATAGCAGTATGAGCCTAGACACAGTAATGGTGTTTGTGTAATGGGCTGTGCCTAGATTGTCAGATCAGCACTGGATAATGCCTCCATGCTACACACACACCCACACCCACATCTTTCTTATTGCTACTTCATCACACAAAGGCACAAAGGTACACACACACACACACACACACATATATATCTATATGTGTGTGTGTGTGTGTGTATAAGAAGAATCTGCTGATGTTTTCTGCATTTTGATTGCATGTCACATAAATTCCTTTCAAGACTTGTTGTACTCCAAACACACAAACACTTGCTCTCCTCTCTCTCTCTTTCCACAACACACACACACACACACACACGACACACCACATTGGCTAATGCTTGCTAATTGCAATGGATATAGTGTTGGCAATGTGACCTTGCAGGTCTTGAAGCTAGGAGGAAGTAATTTAGCATTGATTAATTGTATGTGTTTGCTATTGATTATGCTGGCAGCTTGCCTATTGTTTAGTACACAAGCTGGTCCAACAGCATGACAGGGGGGCAGAAATGGTAAAATTCTGGAGAAATAACGTTGAAAGAAGTGAACCAGTGATAACATTTTGAATTAATTTTGTACTGAGCAACACAGGCATGTGTGTGGTGTTGTGTGTGTGTGTGTGTGTGTGTGTGTGTAATAGCAAACGGTCAAGAAATACTGACTTTGGCCCTCCAGGGTTCGAAGGAACCGCAAATGTCAAGGCAGGGCACACACATACACACCATCTGTACCGCAATATCATCCTAAAAACTGTGCCCATCTCTGGCATTTTGCGGAACTTGTGCCATTGCTGTTTCCTATGTATGGCAGTGTATCACTTCCACGCCAGAGAAAGGAAAACAGATCAGTATCATATTTTAATGTGAAAAGTTTGTTGTTTTAACAAGATGTTTTTCATTTTCAACACTGTATTTTCACATTATTCCAACATACAAACTTATCATGGTATGTTTTGTTACAACAACATACCTTTGTGTTGTACTACTGCTATCATGTTATGATAACATGATAACTTATATTGTTATAATAACATAACATTGCAATATAAGTTATCACATTATAATATGAGCCTTTTACATTACAGATAGATAAATTGTATATTTTTGTAATAAGTTTTCACATTACAATGTGAGACGTTTTATGTTAGACAAAAAGATAAATAAGTAATAAAAAGTAAGATTAATAGTATTTTATTATAACAAGCAAATATTCTTGTTTTATAGTGATACATTTGTATGTTGTAATTATGTGAAATGTCTTGTTATGAAGTGAAAAACAACATCTATAGACTTTTCACAATATGCCGTGATACTGATCCAGTTTTCTTTTTCTGGCGTGGCAGCATTATGCTGCCGTACTTATGGCGTTATAGACCCATTGCAAAATGATGAATCTCATCAGAGTTATGAGCAGAAATACTGCGATTGGCCCAGCAAATATTTTTTAGGTTTAACACTTGAGATTGCTATATTTAGGTTCACAGATGAAAATGTCTAATATTAAGATTAAAGATGGTTGAAGGTTTGGTATGGTTAAGGATTGAGAAAGAACATAGGCAAGACTTCTATCTTTGCCCAGAACTGCAGTCCACACACACACACACACACACGGACACACACGGAC